CCTATTACAGGCTTCCCCTCAAAAGTGTAGCTGGCTTGATTCAGACATTGAGTCTTGGATAAACCTACCCTGGGATGTACCAGCACTACCTGGGGAGTACCTCCTTAATGGGAGTAAAACAAAGAGATAACTTTTGAGTTGCCAGGACTTTCATTGAGATAATAGGGACATGCATATGTAGGCTAGACACCTTATTTGGTAGCTGCGTGTATTAAGAGAGAAAAGAAAAAGAAACTAAAAGAAAAAAGTTCAGAAGGATGCATTCCCTTAAGTATGCTAGCTTGAAATCTATAAACCAAGTTCCTGATGTTCTGGTCAAAGGCAGGCATTTTCATCAGATCAAGTAACTACTCATGCACCAACAACAGGACACAGTCAATAAGGTCTTTTGCCAAGTAACTGTCCTTCTAAGCCAAAGGAAACAAGGATTGTTGTTGTTTTGTGTGTGTGTGTATGTGTGTGTGTGTGTGTGTGTGTGTGAGAGAGAGAGAGAGAGAGAGAGACAGAATTTCACTCTGTCATCCAGGCTGGAGTGCAATAGTGCGGTCTCGGCTCACTGCAAACTCCACCTCCCAGGTTCAAGCAATTCTCCTGCCTCAGCCTCCCGAGTAGCTGGGATTACAGGCACCCACCATCACACCCGGCTAATTTTTGTGTTTTTAGTAGAGATGGGGTTTCACCGTGTTGGCCAGGCTGGTCTTGAACTCCTGACCTCAGATGATATGCCTGCCTCAGCCTCCCGAAGTGCTGGGATTACAGGTGTGAGCCACCACGACTGGCCACAAGGATTGTTTTAAAATTTAACCTTAGGTTCCAGCATACTGAAGTGTACCAAAAGGTGAACTCAAGCTTTGAAGGGATACAATAGGTGTTTTTACTGAGTTCTGCTGAATAGAGCTGTAAGCATTTCAGGTGTGGAAATGATGGAAGGAATCCGCCTTGGGTTGTGATTATTTGAACAAAGTAAAATCAACAAACAACACTCAGGCTGTAGGTAAGTTTCCCGCTGTGCCAGTTTTGTAATAAAGGTGCTTTTCTTTTCAGCTGAACTTTCCATCGAGACTTAAATCGTTTATTTCTTTGGAGGTAATTTAAGCACACTGCCAATGAAATAGTTTACTGTGTTTAGGTTTTTTAAAAAAAGAAATTTGATAGCACACAGTTTCATTAATTTGAATATGAATATGCCTAAAAATATTCCTAATATTCTGGAAGATCCCTCTGATTCCTCTGATCAGAAGACCTGAATGGCAGACCTGAATGACCTATAGACTGCTTAGAAAATGAACCAAACAAGGAAAAATCACACAGAGGTAAAAAGGAGTTCTAACTTATTTGGAAACATTTCATTAATCTGCTTATTAGAACTGTAAGCATCAGTTTGTAACTATAACAGAGAAATAGTGGAATGCTAATCTAGGTAACAAATGTCACTTAGAATCAACACTTTTTTTCCCTTCTCGCCATATAATTGTTAAAACAAAGCAAGCCTTCAGAGTAGGTGACCATGTATCACTTACTGAAGGCTAGAAGGGGACTCCTTTTCTAAAGTGGTTCACTCTATTTATTACGGGGTCTGAAATTATACCATTGGAGATTTATTTCTTAGACCATGACAGTCTTTTGTTCATTGAAGAAGAATCGACTTTTAAAGTACAAATACCCATGGTATGGGTGGCTCAGTAAATATTACACTATATATATGTATATATATTTTATTTTACTTTTTGAGACCCAGTCTCACTCTGTCACCCAGGCTGGATTGCAGTGGTGGGATCTCAGCTCACTGCAACCTCTGCCTCCCAGGTTCAAGTGATTCTCCTGCCTTAGCCTCTGGAGTAGCTGGGATTACAGGTACCCACCACCATATCCAGCTAATTTTTGTATTTTTAGTAGAGATGGGGTTTCCCCATGTTAGCCAGGCTGGTCTCAAACTCCTGACCTCCGGCGATCCATCCACCTCGGCCTCCCAAAGTGCTGGGATTACAAGTGCGAGTCACCATGCCCGGCCTACACTATATTTTAACTTGACCACTAGTTGAAGGTGTATTGGAGATGTTTTTTGTTTGTTTGTTTAAATTTATTTTCATTTTATTTTTTGAGACAGAGTCTTGCTCTTTCACCAAGGCTGAAGTGCAGTGGCAAGATCTCAGCTCACTGCAACCTCTGCCTCCCAGGTTCAAGCAAGTCTCATGCCTCAGCCTCCCAAGTAGCTGGGATTACAGGAATGCACCACCACGCCTGGCTAGGAGATACTGATTTTGCCTATCACTCTTTTCCAGTAATGAGATATTCCTTTAAGAAAGTGGATTTCTCTTAATCCAGCTCTGTGCTTTTGGTGCGAGCTGCCAGCTGGAGCATTCTCCTTCCCCATGTTTACTTCCTCTATCCTGCCACCCAGTGGTGGAGACATGACTACGGTTTGTCCAACCTTATTTCCTCAGCCCTGGCCACAAAGATTGGTTTATATCCACAGATGGGTACCCAACTAAGCTAGGATTGATTTCTTTCTTGTACTTTCCAACTGGAGCTAGTGGAAAAATGCTTTCTTTCCTCCCTGGAGATTATATGATAAGGAGGGCAGCCCATAGCTGCTTGTGGCCATATTTCCATTCTCTTCTGACATCTAGCTTGACAGAATCAAGTCTCAATGCAGAAAGAAGCAGAGGTGAGTGACACAGAAGTTTCCTGATGGTCCTTTAGACTGGAATCCATCTGACTCTAAGGCTAGTGCAGTGCTCTCTCTTGGTTTGTTTACATGCACCAGTAAATCACCCTTTCTCCTTAAGCTGTTATGACTGGAGCTCATTTGCAAACAGAGGTCTGAAAACCCAAAACAAACATTTTACAAGATAATCAGGGCAGTGGTGTTGTTCTAGGTCCAGAAACGTGTGTGTGTGGGGGTGGGTCAGCCCTAATTGTCCTGTGATTAAATAGGGGTCATTGTGTGTTAAAGTTACTGGAGATCTTTTCAGACTTTATTCTGAAGTGAATTCAGAGGCCAAGGTTACCAAGGTTTCTGAGAATGCTGGTTAATATTATGCTGGGACCACAATGGCCTTGACGATCTCACAGACTATTGAATTTGGGTGAGGCTGCAAGGGACCTGCGGAAGAGCAAGATTGTGCAAATATTTGATTTAGGATCTTGGTGCTACATGTCAGTCAACTGAGTCAGTTTCCCCACCAAACAAGAGAAGCAACATGTAGCTCCAAAAGAGAATCACTGTCTTGATCCATAATGGATGGCTTTATTTAAATCTTAAATTTACATCTGTTCATGAGTAGCCATGTTTTTCTCTACAGGTAGTTAAAAAAAACCACACACACAAACAGAATAATGGGCAAAAAAAAAAAGGGTAGGATTTAATGTTTTCTTCCCTCTCCCAAGCCATTAGAGTCCTAGTCCCTCAGTATTATTTAAATTTTGCCCTCTCAAAATATCCGAGAGACAAAATTGTCATTAGACAGTAAGTAATATTGAAAAAAGGAAACTATTAGAGACCTTGCGATTATTTTTCTTTGCACGGGGTTTAAAATGCAATTGAAAAGTTGAAAGCTTCTCTTAAGCGAGCTGGGGAACCTTCTCCAATGTGCTCTACAATCATTGTCAGTTTCTTCTAATGAAACCAGTGAAAAATCTGGCTAATGCCTCAGAATAAGGACTTTTAAATGGATAATATTCTCTAACAGATTTTATTCTTTTAGGCTTCATGGTGGTAAAAGCAAATTTACAAACTGCCTTTATGTTGTTTTATTGAAAGAAAAAACTATGTTTCAAGTTCACAGTGTTACGTGCATTTGAATCCTGGGAAAGCACTATTCAAAACTGAAAATGAAAATCAAATTCATATGAAAAGCTTTACCATGTAGTCAGGGTGCTGGGAGTGTCTCCCTTTCTGAAACTACACTTCACCTGCTTCCTCCTCCTCCATTTGGTTCTGCATTACTCCTCTTTTTCCACAATTACTTATGAGTAATAAAGGAAGCCAGAGTAAGAACGATGACATGTTCCTGGCTTTGCAAGAGTGGCACACATCAAAGGAAGACATTTTTCCCAGGGAACCACAGCTTTGCAAGAGATTCACCAGGCAGGAATGAAGTTTGATATTACTGCGACATAGCAGAGGGAATGCCCTGAGTCTCCCAAAGATGGGAAAGGCACACTAGGGTACAGTCAGCTGCTGCTCTAGAGGCTAACTCTCCAAGTGTTGCTTGTGCAGTGGCAGGGTAATGAACATCTCTAAGCCGCTGCTTATTCTTAGGGAATTCGTAAATGTACTTACCTTAGAGGTTATTCTTAGAATTAAATAGACATGGAATGCTTAGCAAAATACCTGGCCCATGGTACTATATTAAATGTTAACTAGTGTTCTTGCTAAAATAACAGTCTGAGATTTGGGGTTTTCTTGTTTGTTGTTTGCTTGTTTGTTGCCTAACGGTGTGTTTATAGTTTGTTAGCTGGAGAAGTCTTTTTTTAAAAAATCAGAACCAATGTGGCTATTCACAATTTTCTGAACTACCCAGATTTCATCTCCAGCCAGCCTTCCCTGCTTGTTTCTGGTTCATTTGCCTATTGGGAAAAAAAAAAAAAAGATTATCTTCTCTTCCCCGTGCCCTAGTCTGTCAGCCTGTGTTTTCAGACAGCTCTGTCTCACTCCAGAGCCCAGTCCCTGCAGGCGCCTGCCTTCCTTCTTATGCCCTGCCCTCCCCCTACTACCACCCAGCTTGTCCAGCAACACTTCTCAGATCTATTTCAGTCTAGCTCTTCAGCTTCAAAGACTTTCCCTTAACGAGCAAACCGCTTATTCATTCTCTGCCCCTCTCAAGGTGAAAGTGAATCCAGCCTGGAGTTAGTAGTTCATGTGCTGTATCTATTGGTGCCACACAGAGGTCAGGCCAGGCCTGTGGCCTCGTTTTTTTTTTGCTTTGTTGCCAATACAACTACATACATCACCCAGCTGATGGGCCAGTGTGGATCTGTCACGTGGTAATACTGACCTCTAGGGGCTGGCTTTCCTTCACATAGAGTCTTTATCTTCTCATTGAGTTCCAGAACTGTGATGGCAGCCTCTTGCTTAGCTGTTGCCAAATCAGTTTGTAGCTTTTTCACTTTCTTTTCATGCTTTAGTTTCTTAAACAAATAAAAAATAAAAAAATAAGAGTTTCCATCCCTGGGGACAGACGCATCAAAGAAATAAAAGGAATGATGTCTGAACAAACGCTGCCTTTGAAGCCTGCTTAGATGAAACACTCCCTGTTTATCTAGATTGAGTCCTGTTCGAGGTTTGTGAAACAGTGTATGTGCTCCTGTCAGAGCGTTTGAACCCTCAACAAAAAAAGCCCACTCTCTACATCATAGTATCTTTTACACTTTTGAAGAGTTTTTATCTGGGTCAGAACCCTGTTGCTTATAATAGAGGCAATTAGAAGAACTCTAGTTGCCAGTTGGCATTTGCCACTGAGGTACTAATGCCTACTAGTATCAGATTTTTTTTCCCCATCTGTAAGTAGACTCCTGTGAAATAGAGCCTTGATTCTAAGTCATTTCCCCCTCAACACTATAATGGTTTGCTTTCAGATACATTCTAAAATGTGTGATGTGACCACCAAATGCTGGTGTTTTCTGATATTTAGTATGCGATCTATATGGGGAAAGTGTCAAGGGTAAGAAAGGGTCAAGCATAAGAATGGTTTTTAAGCAGTAGTGAACAGGGATGCCTTGCTCTAAAATAATTTGATTTATGAGACGTAAATCTTTGGGAGAGCTGCATCAGGCACTTGTTACATAACTGAAGGATTCACCTTGACACTTCATGGCTCAAAAGTTCCTTTTAGGGTTTCAAAGTAGATTTGATTCTTTAAAATTGGATTTATCTGCTACTTTGGAGAAGCTATCTGTTGTGAAAGGTGTTGCATTTGTACTTTCGTGTTGCTTTTGTATAGCTACCTTGCCATTGAAGAGCTCACCTTGCCAAGTCTTTGTGTGCTGGTAATTAGGAAGCTCAGAAAATGATCTACTAACATTTCTTATCAGACATAAATCTTGAGATAGGGAAGGGATGGTTTTTGCTCACTAGGGAAGATCATGCTCTTCCCTGGCCTCTGAAGGCAGTATACTCAGGCAGCAGGGAATTACTCTACTCTTTGAGAGTAACACCAGTAAAATCAATTTATCAAAAACGGTCTTAAATAGAAACGGGCCTTTCATTTCAAAGACCCCTCATTTCCCTTTTTGCTTTGTTGCCAGTACGACTACATACATCATCTGGATTATTTATGAGATCTAAACCTTTGGGAGGTCACTCAGATCAGGTTATCTTCTAGACCCCAAACAGGAAGATCAGGACTTCACTAAAGCTTAGTTAATGGCATAAACAGGGCTAAAGGAAATGTGTTACTCGAAGGAGAATGGTAGGCGTGGAACTTCTTTAAGGGGAGTTAGAGGGTAGAATTAGGCAAGGTTCAGCCAGCACAATCCATGTGAGAGGTACCCTGAGCCACAACGCAAAGGCCTGGTTTTCATGGCAGTACTTGTAAAGAGGTAGTACTAATTATTAGGATGCATCCTCTGGGTGTCAGGCATGATGCTGGCCAGATGTTGAAACATGAAGACTGATGAAGTCTCTGCCTCCAAGTCATGAAGACCTTCTAACGAATTCCCTTCTTCTGAGCCTCTATTTACTAAAAGGCTTCATAATTTGGCCTGTCATGTACATTAGTTCAGGAGAGACCAAGCTGACCAAGAAATATGTCTGACTATTTGGCAGCTGGACAGCTGTGTTTTTCAATTATTAAGTTGGCATTTTAATATATACCTCTGTCTCTTGTGAGCTGGTTTGGGTCAGCTTATTCATGAGGATCTTATCTATCCCAGGCCTGCAGTGACAGCACCTTGTGAGATCCTGGATGGTCACCATTGACCTTTTCCTCTTCAATACTCTTCCATGCTTAAATTTCTACACTTTCTTTTTACAATTTAGAACTTTGGAGATATAGAGTAGGAGGAAGGGTACAGAAATGAAAATTGAGAAAGTGGAGAGAATGAGGGAAAATAAGACAAGAGAGATTGCGAAAGGAGTGCTAGAAAGTGTCCAAAAGGAACTAACAATGGTATGTGTGCTGAAATGTTAAGGACTAGGTGTGCTAATGAGAGCAAGTTGCACTGAAATGCATAAATAAGACAGTTGGATAGAGAAAAAATAGATACCTGATAAGATGAAGAAGATAGTAAAATATTCATTGTAGAATCTATTTTTTGACTTATATGCGTGTTTACTACATAATTATTTCAACTTTTTTGTATGTTTGCAATTTTTCATTATAGGATATTGGGGGAGAAAGAACTAAGATTTATCTTCCTTACATTGCCCCTCCCTTAATTCTTAATAAATGGTATTCAGATTCTCAAATCATGTCACAACTCTTCACATGCAGATATGTATTTTTCCAGAAACTTTTCTCATAGTATGCATTGACAGTAAATAAACACAAGAAAAAATAAATGCAGTGAGGTGAGAATTAATGAACAGTCACTAGGAGCTGCCATGGTGTCTGTCACTAAGAAAAAGGCTTACCAAGCTACATTTTCATTTTGATAGAATAATTTGATGAATAGAATTCAGGAACTCAGTGAACAGAGACAGGGTTTCTCAATATCAGTTAAGAATTTCACCTTTCTAGGTACACATTTTAACTCTTTTTAAAAAAATATTCAATTACCAGAAAACACGTTCCTGTCTGTCTTTTACGGTGATTGTATTGTTCTATCTCTTCTATTATAATATTTGTATATTTACCTTATAATCTGAGAAGGAAATTGAGACTATTTAGTTTGGAGAAGACATTACAGTATACAGGGCAGTCATGGCAGTTGACTTTAGTTACCTAAGGGACTATTCAAGAGGAGAGGAAGCTGAGTCAAACAATGTTGTTTTCAAGATAACACGAAGAACAATGGGTAGAAACCATGAGGAGGCAGACGTTGGCACAACATGAGAAAGAACCCTCCGACAATCAGAGCTGCATCCAGAACAAGATAGGATGCATCCTGGCAAAGACCTCCTGCTCTGGGAAAGATCAAGCAGGGACTGGATGGACATCTTCAGACAGGCCCTTGGTGACCTGTGGGACCTGGGTTGAGAGGTCACTGGAAGTTGGGCTTCCCTCAACTCTTTCCACTTCTGGCTTTCTCCAGCTCCCTGAGGGGCACAGCACATGAGTAAATGAACATCTCAGCCCTCAAAGCCTCCAGGGTTGGTGTAGTTGGTACAGTTTAAAGATAATTCTGGTATTTGTGAGAAGTTGGATAAGAAGGCCAAGAAAGCCTGTGGGTCCCTTAGAATTCAAGGATGATGTGAATCAAAATGTCACTTTAATATTTAGCTATAAGGGAGGGGAAAATTAAATTTAAATTAAAAATCGGATAAAAGACTTAGATTGGCTGTCTAATGTTTCTGTTGGGACCTTTTGATTACTCAGATACACTTAAAAATAGTTCAACATCTTCATCTTTTTTTTTTTTTTTTCTTTTCTTCAGAAAGAATTGCTCTCTGCTATTAATTCATAGCTTTAACCAAGCCCTTTGGGCATTTCAAACAATTCAATTTGCCAACATGTTTTTTATTAGTCATAGACATCAAATGATTTCAGCAACAATAATATTTTCCTTGCTGTTTGCCGTTCACTAGCCAGGCAACCCAAATGTCATACTTGAATCTAATGCAGTCTGTTATGGTCTCCTTAGTAACTAGGAACTCTCTTTGGTGATTACTGAAAGGATAGGAAGGCTTTATAGCTTGGAGGTAAATTCCTATTACTGTGCTCTTTTCCTACTTCTCCTACTGGGTGGAAAGAGGGAGGAAATCATGTATTTGTGCAATGTTTTGAAAAGGAAATATCTATTCGTATCGTATTGCTGAATGGCTTGCATTATTCCAAGTTAATGAGAATTAGAAATAACCAGGGAACTATTCATAGAAGAGGGTCAACACAAAGTTGCCAGCACTGTTTAAAATTTCTGGGTATTTCCACATACTTTAAACTGTGGCAGTTACCCAATCGCCTGGCCCATGACATTTCTAAGCCTTAGATTCATGTCATAGGACTACTGTGGGAATCCAAGGACATAACATAGAAATGACAGCACCCGGCACTATGCCATGTAGTAGTTATGTCTTTCTGGTTTTGTCATTACTCTTAAAACACATAAGAGAAAGTTTGAACTCTTCACTAAAACACTAAGCAGCTTCTCTAAGGATACTTTAGAGGATACTAAGGATAGAGAAGGTATCTTTTCTAAGCACCTTCTCTAAGAATACTTTAGTGTTTTAGTGAATAATTGAAATGTTACAGAAAATAAAATGGAAGTTGTCATACTTTACAGAAAATAAAATTTGTACTTAATTGAAAGCAAGACATTTCATTTCTTCTTCTTTTTTTAGAAATTAAGTTTTCCGCATGATTGCATTGATCTCCTCCTCACTTTGGATGGGTAGACAAAACTTAATGTTCTGAAAACAGACATGCAAATAGCCTTGATTCAATCTCCTGCCAGAGCTGGCCAGGTGCCTAGGCAAAGTCGGTGACTGCCTGCGTGTAATGATGTGAGGAGCACTCCAAGGCACTGCCTCTTGCTCCTCACAGCAGCTCTCTCTTGGGCCTGCCAGGGCAGAGCTTCCTCCCACTTTATCTGAAGTTTACTCTGTCCATCCCAGCCTCCTTCACTTAAGAGCCTGTATAACAAAGGGATTTTGTCTTCAGTGGCCCACTAAGAAAATGCTTACTACTAAAGATGTAAAAGAGAATTTGGTTTGAATACAGAAGGTATACAACCGTTCTTCCTTGCATTTCTCTTCTAATAGCCAATCAGTAATAGTAATGAAAGTTATAAATAGTGATAGAATTTGGATACAACTTGTCTTTAAAAGTCAATTTTACATGTTTTGTATTTATAATACCCTCAGGAGAATATTTTAAAGTCTAGGGATGTCAAATGTGTGTCATGTATGTTCTTTTTCAGTTCATGGCAGGCCTTTGATTTGGGGATTCTTTAACGCTGTGTTGCACCCCTGGATTCACAATCATTTAGTCACACTTTCAGCAGCCACTGCCCATTGATGAAACCTGTCATCT